TGATAGTTATTTTAAAATAACTAAATCTATTTAAAACTGATTTTGTATTATTAAATATCGCGGTAAAATGTTTAGATTAGATAGATATATGTATAATAAATTTTAATTTTGATATTTTTTATTATTTATTATTTTGTCATATCTTTTAGTTAATGTATACATGAAATATGTACAGTGAGCTTATGGTATATATTTGTATACAAAGCAGTTCTCGTAGATTACTTTGCCTGCGAAATTATACGGCTTCATTATATACAAGAATTTTAATGAACTATTTTACAGATGAGAACTTGTTTTGCTAATGAATAGATATAATACTTTTCCTTAAGACGATCACGAAGAGAAGATCATAGTCTGAATTATAGTCTGCATGTACACAAAATTATTTCAAAGAATTTATCAGTTTATTCATGAATATCTAATTTATGCGAGGGATTATAATAGCAATTTTTGTTAGCGTATAATTTTTTTGCTGTAATAAAGATATTTATTAAGTTATAACTAATTCTGGATGTTCTTTCGGATTTTTCCTTGCAATTCACAGAATTTTATGAATTGCAAGGAAAAATCTGCAGAGGTGTGAATGAAATTAGTACATGTATACATCTGTACGTGTGGATATGATATCAATTATTATGACGTCTACTTTAACACGGAATTTTTAAATAGCTTTTTCGTTGTACATTTGGAAAAGCATGAATAAAAGGGAGTGAAAACGAAGTGATATCTATAGAACTAGAGTGCAGAGACGCAATAAAAGTTTTACTACTCGAGCAGTAAGCAACGTGCTAGAATAAAAAGTAACATGTAGTAAGGTAACAACACTATAAAAGCCCAATGGTACGAAAAAGCTCTATATCATATAATATGTGAACATACGCTGCATTTTTATTATCACATATATTAGGTCTACAACTTAATTCTCGACTGCTATATTCAATCAACTATAGCACTTATTTAAATTTGAATCTTTTTCTCGCCATATAGTCGTTTTAAAGCGTCATCCTTAAGCTTTAAAATAAGAAATAATAGGTGTCGGTGCTGCGAATCTAATCTAAAAAAATAATAGTGATTTAGTGAAAACTATGTCGTTCGAAAAGCACCATTTGAGGCACTGTCTCCTTTTCGCGTTCCAGAGAAGAAAAATACCGTGGAAGCTCAAGAAATGATTTGTTCGGCTTTAAGCAGAAACTCTGTGTCGTACAGTACATGTAAAAAATGATTCCAAAAATTTTGTGATAGCAATTTCAATTTTTTTATCATCGGCTCTCAAAACAACTATCTTTTTCTCAAAGCGGAATCCGACAGTTGCCTGAAAGATGGCAGAAATGTATGGAAAGTGAAGGGGATACTTTAAGTTAAATATTCGTTCTTTTATAATTTTACATCGAAACTTGATAAAAAAAGGCTGAGAATTAAGACCGAGAATTGTAGACCTAATATATAAAATTGCTATGCTTTTTTATAAGTTTCATTATGAATATTACGTTTTGTCAAGAATATAGGTTTCTACGTTACTAACTTTCTTGCCAAACACGAAGTTTCCTACTTATTGCATATCGTGCACTAAGTTTACTAGTTAATGTACACTTTACCAAATATTTTGAAATGTTTCTTAAACGATGAAAGTTTGATAAAGAAATATATGAATTTATTGTAATTCCAATTAACCGCGAGGACAACGTTAATATGAGAAATTCCTAAAAGGAGACTACTTTTATGTTTTTTTACATCAGTCATAATAAAATCGTACTATCTCGTATTCGTTTTTTGAGGGAGTTTCTGCTTTTCGATTTTTATACGAATGAAATTTTATTTGAAATTGATTGCGAAGGGGTCGTGGGGTTAACGAGATACGAAATTTGAACCTTGAACCTTAGAAATCGTACTTGGCATCGTATCATTCCTCTTCGACAAATATGGGCAATTCTATCTTGAGCTCTGATTGATTCGATGCCTTTTGAATAAATCCAGATAACACATTTTGCTCTTCTATGAAAGTTTCGGCAGCGCAGCTTGAAAGCAAAAAAAATCCTTGCAATCAAGCCACTGGTGCTCTGTGTATCAAGAGGAGGTTTGTGATACAGTCAAAATTCAATCTTTTTTACCTATTAATCTTTTTTAGCTGTTTTTGCGTTTCTTTAGTTTTGTAATTATTATAATAAAAAGTGATATTTTCAGTGTATGCGATTATACATAAACAAATTGCTAGTTAAATATAAACTGCAAGATAATTTGTGCATAAAATATAATTCCAGACCCTTGCACGTTATTTCTAACGTATATATAAATTATATTTGCGTTACCGCGTAATTCGTATATGTATATGTATTATTTATTAGGATAAGTGATGTTTAGACAAAACTAGACATGTCCGGGCACATCTAAATTAGGCCGTTGGACTAATTTCCATCCTCGTATATATTCGTGTGTTCTATTTGAATTACGATTTTAGTTAAAATACATCATTAAGGATTATTTAATTATGTTATTAAATGCATAAAAGAGTCAAAATTGAATTAATTCCGACAGCATTAGCGCGGAGTTTTCGCGCTATTAAATTGTCTTTTTATACCTTTTTGTCGTGGCAGACATTTATGTTATCAATTTATTTTTTTACGTCCCAAGCTTGATCAAGAGAAACATTGCGTTAAAATATATCCCTTACATTGGAGCAGCACATCGAAGAGTTAAAATAAGAAAAAAAGAGGTCCATTATTTTTCCACGTTTTTAACTTTTTTCTTTTGTCTTTTGTTTTTGTGAATCTATTTTGTTTTCATTTAGCCGGAACTCTTCCGCCGATTTTTTGTTGATAGGAATCATTCGTGCGATAAGTTACTGTGCGTTGCAAAGGGTGCTTTCCAATTACTCAACACATCTTGACACAAATGTACACAGGAATGCACAAAGTGTAGCGTTGTGCATGACTCAATTGGAACAGCGATTTCAAATAGAGTAAGGTTAATTTTTTAGTACATGTCCGTACCCTGATATTTTGTAATCCGTGGTGGTGCATTTCCGTGTATTTCAACTAGAAGAACAATTTATGAAAAATTAGCATAGCACTCTATAAATTTGTACAAAAATTTGTTTATTATAATGCATATAATCTAAAAATATTTTCGAAAAGATCGACTAAGAGAAGACAAAAGGTATTTTAGATTTTATTTCTTTTAACGTTATGAATATGTAAAACAAAAAAATATAACAAAGAAATAAAAAATATATATATATATTATTTTGTTAAATATATACTTATAACAAAAATTTATTGATACCAAATAATTACTTACTTCAATAATATTTTCATCGTTCATTTCGTTACTTTTTCCTTCTGTTCTTTACTGCATTTAAAAAAAAAACGAAAATTCATATTCTTCAACCTCATTTATAATCTCTCGACTAGAATGTCACTAGAAAATACAACGCTACACAGCCCTCGGCTGAGTACAGATGTGTAGTACTGTGTCGACAATAACGGACAATTGGAACGTAACTTGTGTCGCCGTGCGCACGAAAGTGTCTAGGGATATTGTAATTGGAAAGCATCCAAAGTAAATTGAACATCATCCATTGATACGCCAACTTTGTTTCGGGCCACTGTACTTAATTTCCATTACGAGGGTTACCCTCGTGATTAGACTCCATTTTTTTGAAAAGGAATTCAATTCTTATCTAGACAGGAATTTAGGTCTTATCTAGACAGGATTTCTGTTACCTGCCAGTCTTTTATAAACGCTCGCCATTAAACGGCTCCAATATCGTGTAACGGATCATAAAAAATGTAAGAAATGACGCGCTATAAGTATTATTTTGCTGGAATGATCTGCTTTAATTAAACGTAATGGTGTCATTATAATGACACCAGATAATAGACAATTCCCTCTTGTAAAGAGCAAGCTATCCAACAGAGAATAGAAAAAAGAAGATGATTGATATGAAAAATTTCTCTTTACAATACATTTAATACATTATTCGTACGTGTTATCTACGATATTTACGTTACGTGACTCGACATTCTCGTATACGTTTTCTTATAGAAAAATATTAGCGAAATAAAATTGACGGATGCATTGTCATGCATCGTCGAGAAAACATTACGATTTTTAACGAGACAGAAGTAATATTTTATAATAAAAAAGCAATTTTTTAGTCTGGAAATGATCAATCGTTTATATCTCGCTTATTAAGCGTCATAGCGTGTGACGTAGGATAATGCTGCAAGGAGTGTGTCTCCGTCGGAACTATTCGCAGTCATATGAATCAGCAATGGGTGCGGGTATCGAAAGTCGATACGTCATACTGTGAAGTGTGAACAGAAACTCGCACAATTGGCAGAGTTTTTGGATAACGAGTCAAACACGAAGTCATGTGAAAATGCAGCAGAACGTGTATATAAACGCGAATAATTCAAAGTAAGCTTTTAAAGATGTAAGCTTGAAAAAGGATTAATTAAATTCTATCGATTTAATTTGATATTTAAAACCAATAAAATATAAATTTAAAAATGCAAATTTAATAAATTAGAATATTTAAAGAGAATCTTGATGTTCTAAAAAAACTTTTTCTTTCTATTTTATAAAATCATAAATAATATTTTTCATATTTTTATATCTATATTTTACACAAATATGATTTTTAGATATTAATATTATTTCATACAAATTTTATTAATGTATAATTCGAAATCGAATGAGTATTTCGTATAATGAATAATATGCATAATTGTTGATATTAATGCTGGTATTTATAATGGTAAACTATTTTTTAAATAATTTGAAATTGTAATTTACAATTGTAAACATACAATGATATTAATTTCAATAATATATACAATATAATGCCGCAATAATGGTTAGTCATTTCACATGCTGTCATATTCATATGACGTATATTATATATGATTCGCGATAAATATATGTATAAAATATGATCGTGGCAGATATCGGAGATGCCACAATTCTAGCTGGTATTAATTAACGAATCACAGTTAACATACCTAGTAACTTATTGAACGCGAAATCCTTGTGATGTGAGCTCTATGAAAATTTTCCGGGTGGCCGTCACACCGGATCTTCCCTTGTTCATGCTTGGCTAACTTCGTGGATTCTCCTCGTTCTAGTTGGACAGACAGGAACATTAACCCTTGTGCATACTAACTTCCGCGAAACTAATAATGAGTCCTTTCTGAGTCCTTCTCCAAACACGTTCGGCAATTTGATGTGTCATGCTTCGTGTGTTAGCATCTTTGTAAATAAATATATTATATTACTTTGTGGTATACACACAAATTAGAGACATTCTTCATGGAACTTTTAATTAACATCTTCTGAATTCAATTTAACGTCTGCAATTTTCTTAAATGTAATCAACAAAGTTTCAATTTCGAGTTAAAGGAAAATTTTGATTCGCATTTGAAAATTATTCCATATGAATACTTTTTGCAAATTACATAAACGATAAATCGGTGCATGTCACTAACTTTTTTGAACAATACACATTGTATTTAAAATATTCTGTTAATTACACTTTTGTTAAGTATATTATTTAAGTGATTTAATGTACATTTTCCATCTAGTGCAAGTCGGAGTTGAAAATGCTTAAAGATCGATTTCTTTCTGTCATCAGCACACAGCATATCCCCGGAAATTCACTAGTAAGCCCAAGTTCGTCGGTCTTGTGCCTCTCAGTCATGTCACGTTCGCGTTTTTTTCTTTTTTTTGGATTTCTTCGCACTGCCGAACTTTCAGAATCGAGCCTTTCCTCGGTTTAGGTTTAAACTGCAATTAATTATATGGCTGTGCACGACAATTAATTTTCATATGTAAATGTTTCACATGAAAAAATTTGAAACATTATTTTGCTAGTTTATCTAACTAGAATTTCCATTTTAATCAGTTTGGCAGAAAAGATTGCTAGTTTTCTATTTTATCATTAATTTTATAGTGACCGACGCATTTCGTAGCACGAAATATTACGTTTTTTTTTTGTATGTATTGGACGCGATTTCTGTCAGCCTTTGGTGGTTTCCAAAACCTCGTGTGTGTGTCGCGGGCACCAAAATTCGTATACAACTCGAGCTTCTCGACGGCTCTCGGCCGACTGACTGAAAACTAGGCTTTACCTCCTGCGTCTCGTTGTCCGCGCATGTGCCACTGTAGATATATAAGACAAGAATTTGGTGAAAAGTGTAGAAAAATTATAAGATTACAATTTGAATATACGATAGTTCATTCATAAAAAACATGCTTGAATTCGCTATGAATGATTTATGAATGGTAATTACAAATGTTTTTCGACTTCGGTGACGTTATTTTTTCATATTACATTTACAACACATATACAGGGTGTCCAGAAGATCGAGGCCAATATTTCGGGAAGTAATTCGGGAGCCAAAAAGGAGGAAAAAAGCTATAATATAAATATAGATCCGGAAATAAGTCGTTTTTGAGTTATAATCACTTTTATGTTAAAAAATTGAAATTAATTTTTTTCATAAAATTACATTCATAATTTATTTCACATTATTTCAACATAAATATGTTTTATTTAAAAATTTTTTTTACTTTTTATTTTTTAATTTTCTGGTATTTGTAAATATGGTTACTGCATTATTTTTAGATAAACAGGTTAAATAGAATTAAATGAAATGTTTAAAATAACTACCTTCAGCACGAATGCAGGCCCTTATTCTTCTATCAAAAGAATTCCGAACTCTTTGAAAAACAATTGGATCCCTCCTTATTTCTTCGGATCCGTGGATTATTCTTTGTCTTAAGTTAGCAATATTATTGGGCGCATTTCTGTAAACTAATGATTTTACGTGACCCCATAAATAAAATCAAGTGAATTCATATCTGGTTATCTTGGGGGCTAGGCAATCGGACTTCCACATCTTATCCATCTCTGTAATTATGAAAAATAAATTTCAATTTTTTAACTTAAAAGTGATTATATAAATGGAAATGACTTATTTCCGGATCTATGTTTATATAGCTTTTTTCCCTCCTTTTTAGCTCCGGAATCACGAAGTATTGGCCTCGATTTTCTGGACACCCTGTATATTTTGATTTTAGAATAATATCGAATTAGATTTTAAAATTTACATGAAAGAAATAAATTTTTTTCAAGAATAACTATTAAATTAAAGTTTAAATAAAAGAAATGGTCATTTTTTTTAGAAATAACTTAAATTAATTATAATAATTATATTTATAAATTATAATTTGCTGCATTTAATTATTTAATTAAAAATATTACATCTCGAATTTATTCTCCTGTTCATTTTGCTAAAAATAAATTATTTTTTGTAATAAATAATATTTCTGTGGGAATAATCCCTTCTTGAGGAATATTTTGTAATATACTCGAAATTATTCTACATTAATATAAATTTTAATCCCATGGCACACACAGTGCAATAGATATATAATATAATACATATACAAAGATGAACACGATATAGAGAGATTGATCGTATCAGTTACATATAAATTTATGAAAAACCTCGCTTTCAAATTTCGTAGAATTCGACATACTCTTTGGGGACGATAATTAATCAAGCCGAGTTTCATAAATCTCCCCGAAGGTTCCTCAGGTAAGGTTCTCCATTTTTATTGGAAAAACAATCTTTGTAACTTCCGAGAGAAGAGATTCAATAGGTCGATTTTATGGTAATTTTAGATATCGTACACAAATATTCTCATTCTTTATGATCAATGAGAAATAGAGAGATGCTCGAAATTTGGAATTCTATATTATATTTTAATAGAATTTTGTGACAAATTATATGGCAGATAAAAATTTGTACTAGAGAAAGAAAAAAAGAGAAACTCGGATACATTAGTATTAGCGAGAAAAATTTGCTCACATGGAAATTCCTTCTTAAAGAGGTGTAATGTCGTCAAAACGCATGAGATGCATTTCAGCCTGCTAATTGCAAGAAGTTGCACCGGCCGGAAGTAGGTTACGTTAAACTTGGTTAAGAATGTAGGCGGACACACTCATCAAAGTGAATGCGAAAAGCTCAAAAGCATGGGGTGTGTGTGTGTGTGTGTAGTGTGTGTGAGTAGCACATGCAAATGATGTATATTCCGATTACGAAATGGAACAAGGTACCGCGTTTTTCACAATTAGTTTTTAAAGAATTTAATTAATTACGTACTGCAACATTGCACCATATTTTTTTATAATTCTTTGATATTTTTAAATTGCATAAAATACATACATTTGGTCACGCGTACGGCATATCTTTATGTAATTTTTTCTCAATAAGACTTAATAAGATGCCATAATAATTGCATAATTTAATTGAAATTCTATAGTGCGTTTAAATAGTGAATGCATATCATTTATGAATATATAGAGCTTTTGTGTACAAAAGGTACGTATAGTGCAATAGCTTTTGTGTGCCTAAATGCATTTTATGGTCTTCTCAAAACCAATTTCTGCACTTCACGTTTTGGTTCAGAAAATCAAACTCCCCTATGTGTTTTGATAAAATCGATAGAGAATGGACTCCGAAAGAAAATTATAAATTAATTAATTATAAATAAATTGTCAATAGATTCTAATGGTAAATTTTTTTTCTGCAATGAAGTATGGATAACGTAGAAGTTTTCCGTATAATATGGAACGAAAATTTGTCATCATTAAACAAATAATTACTAACAAAGGGCTATCTTTTCATAACTTTCGTTATTTAATTAGAACGATGTTAAATTAGATATTAATTGTAACTTATAATACATTGAAAATGTACGAGAATGTACATACAATAGAAGTACAAATAATTTTTAATTAAACTTTCAATCCAGTTTTGATCGAATGTTCGTTTCTTGGTATATTTATTTAATACTTACTTTTACGTTCAGTGTCCGCCTCTGTGACTTGTGTATGATAATTAAAGTAATATCGATTTTCTAAATTAGATGTCTGTGGCCGCGCGTGTCGTGCACGTGCCTTTACTCAGTTATGTTGTGGATTTAATCTGACAGTGCCCATGTTCTACGAAAGCACATCCGTAATCATTTTCGATGTTCTCTTCGTGTGTATGTATACATTCTCTCTTTTTCCTCCTTATTCCTTCCTTCCTTTCTCTCTCTCTCTCTCTCTCTCTCTATCATATGTATGGACAATGTCATTGTGGTAATGCACATATAGAGGTTGCTATATTCTGTAACTGCAAAATCGCGGCAAATAAATGGACAATTTTCGAATTTATATGCCCATTATATGCAATTTAGGAAAATTTAATACAGCTTTATACTTCTCTCTTTCTCTCTCTCTCTCTCTCTCTCCATACTAAAGTGGAATCCCAGGAGAAGACAAATATTTTACTTGCGGTGCACACATTTTCAAGGAATTATATATGGTGATTATATATAGTTATCATATAGTGACAACCAAAATGTGAAATAAATGTATTTATATTATTTTCTAAAAGGAATCTTATATTTATATATATATATATATATATATTAATGTGCATTTTTAATGAACGTTTAGAATAAGTTCGACAATTAAGAGTTTTAAGCTAAGAAACTAATCATATTTATTCACGCTTTACAAAGAAGGTATTAGTAATTTTCTAATTTTCGATAAGGAATTCCTCGAAAGTAAAACTTCGTGAGAAGAAAGAAGTTTATTTTGTATTTTAAAATTATTTTTGTACAATCTGTTTCTATCATAATTTTGATCGCTCTAATGGCTGTCAAATATTTGAGTTATTCTATTATGTTACTCAATCTTTAAAGATATATAGAACGCAAATTTTATCCGGACAATTTTATTATAATATAAACTAAAAAATAAATTAGCAAAAATTATCGTAAAATTATATGTTGACCGAAAACTTTTGGCAATCACACACACAGTATATTAAAATTGAATATAAGACTAGGGTTGCGTTCAGAAATTACGCCTAGGTAACTCTAGGCTATAGTTTACGTTATGTGTATTATATCAAAAATGCACCCAAGAGTTATCTAAGCGTAATTTCTGAACGCACCCCAGGTGTAACATTGAGCATAATGACAATTTGGTGCCAATTTCAGATTAGTCACAAATGTCTTTATTACTTTGAACGATTACTTTTTGTTCAACTGGTCTTCTTACATCATGAATGAACATACATATGTATTAATGGATGGAAAAAATAATATACGGTCGTTTACTGAAATAGAGTGGATATCGATCTTAAGAGCGACTTTAATTCCTTCAGCAATTTTCTCTCGTAAGTGTGTTCGTGTCGGACGCCAGATGGTGGATACTACACAGGTTTTGGTTGGCTAAAGATTTATCACTCTACGGAACTGTATCGTCAGCGAAAGGCGTTTTGCTCAGCGTTTAAATGCTACAATTAGCTCTTTAATAGGCGTAAATGATGACACGTTAATCTGCTACGTTTATCTTAAGTAAACTCTGTACGTTAAACATCGTTGTAAAATTCAGTGAAAAATTGCTGCTAATTTCGTCTACTGTCTTAACGAGGGGCTAATTTTATATACATGTATAATAAATACAGTTCACCTTGCATATGCGTTAGCATGTCTAAATATATTTAAACGTACGTATTGATCATTAATTAAAATTTTGTCGATTAATTTTTATTATATCTCGAGTCTTCTATTTTATAATCCATGTTTAAGTTTAATATTATTTTTTCTCACTGTGCAGTGTTTAAAACAATTTTTTTTAATCGAAATGAAAACATTATTGCGACAATGTAGATTTCCGTGAAAATGTGTGCCCTGCTATTTCCAACGACAAGAGTACCTACTGTGAATTTTTCTGTGAATTTATCAATGTTTACTTGGCACATATAACAATATGTTAAACATTCTACAAATATTTATTCTATATTATTTTTAATCTTTCTCTGTGATCTGTTCGTAGTATATACGAATAAACGTGATACAAAATAAGCTAGACATGAAACCGGAAATGTGCTTACCTTGTAGAAGTAGAAAGTATTGTAGACATTGTGTACGTTCCTTCCGCACTCAAGCGAAATCGCATTATATAGATAAATTTTATTAAATAATCGTTTAATCAAGTAAAATTAATTACAAAATTAACGAATCTATAAAATCAAACTCTAAATTATACAATACAATATGTTAAATATGTAATAATTTATTTATAAAAATTAATGTGGAAATTAATCTAAAAATATAGATCTATCTTTTTATATAAAAATATAGAATTAAATATAGAGCTTCTTCATGACATTAAGCAGAAACTTCCAAATAAAAAGTCTTGATTTTAATGAATTAAGAAAATGAAATTGCTGCAAGAAAATATGAGTTAAGCTTCATCGGGAAAATGTGTTTATAAATTAATTTGCAATTATTAGCCATCCGTCATATCTTTGCGATGATGAACGGTCGCATCCTTGAAGAAATTTAAAATTATTTTTGCGTCTGTGCAAGAAACAGATAACGCGTTCAAACGCAACATCCGGAGATATCTCTTGAGCATCGAAAATCAATTTGCGACATGCGCCTCCTTTCACGTCACGCATCGCTTTGTAGTTGCTAAAAGTAGGAGAGAAAAGCTTTTGTGCCTAGATACGATAAGAAGTCAGTGATAAGGAAATCGAGACTTATTATTTAAATTTAATATAATACATAATAGTAACAAATTGATTTCCATCACAAAAGCTTTGTGGAAAGTAATTCACTTTAAATAATCTTAATATCATTTACAATGTTATATTAAATTTTGTATTATTTACAATAATATACATAGGTTTAAGATGCTTTATAATAGAAAGGTGAAATGTAAAAAATTATAAAATAAAAAAAAGTAATTGAATACATTGTTATTTAACGTAAATTGCTTTCTTTGTATATTTGTTATTGATGCATGCAAAAGTAATATATTTTTTCTATTTATTTCTATTCTTTTCTATCGATTTTGTACTATACAATGTATTTTTCGTTATTGCGGACCATCGGCTATCCCGCGTGATACGCATAAATTCCGGAATAAAGGCGTTATATAGACATATGCTTTTTTTCCATTTCTTTATGCTGACTGAATTTTACGCGGCTGAATTTATTATATCGTTTGACAATGAGTTTGACAAATGTATGATAAAAATACTATAAAATTTTAATATTGTCGTAGCCTGTTTTTTTATTTTCCGCGCAAAAAAATTATATTGAAGGTTACAATATATCCAACGTATTGCATGCTTAAACGCTTGTTGTTATTATTTATACACTGCTTTATACATTTACGGCCATCATGGCTTTTACTTTCTATATGACGAGAAAGGTTTTTTAATACGTTACGTCACTTTACTATATATTATGTTGTCAGCGATTTATGTTTTGGACATTATTACCATATTAAAATAACGTAAAAAAATATGATTCGACATATTAACTTTACTTTTGCTTCTGCGAGAATTGCATACAAAGCTGTCCTCGAAATTTAGAACTTCTCGATTCGACGAAAGCTAATAAAGCTTTTTGTCAGAGATTTATATCAGTTGCAATGGTTTTAATTTTCAACGTTCTTCACATTTGCAATATTATTTTATTTCTATGATAATTAATTGTTATTTTCTATAAACCTGTTTTATATTTTATCTCTCCTGATCCTTTATTAATAATAATAAATTGAATTATGAGGAATTTAGCATTTTATCTTGCAAAAAGGAATTTTAACATCATTGAGTTAAAACTTACAACATCACATAAATTATCACCAAACGTTTACATTATTATCAAGAACGATTAAATCAGCGATCTATGTTCACAAATAAAGATAAACTTTTCCATCCTGGAATAGAGTGATTCTCATCTTTACTTTAAGATTCAGATTTGGAACAATATCGTTACCTGTAAGAAATTTAATAAATTGAAAATATATATATTATCCATTATTGAATTATATATATGTATTGTATATAAGTCACATGTATCGCACACGTGGTAAGCAATGAATTCGTAATTACAATATACAATTATTTATATGATAATTTATATTTATAATTTTTACATACGTACTACGCTGGATAATCACATTTATCCTTCTATCAGGCAGACGATTGCATTCTATCTTGCTCTCTTCTTCGAAGTGAATGCAATTTTCAACAAAGTTACCACTGGCGCTTCGAAGGCGAGAGAAATGCAGAAGGATAGCAGGTACGAGGCAACTAGGTTGCCGAAATAGAGGATAAGCTGCGGAAGAAACATGCATGGACTTAACACAATTCTTATATTGAGAATAGAATGAACTATACTATTTCATGCAATTTATTTTACATAAGAGTTTTTAGAAATTTTCAAAATGTGTAGAAAGATAAGATCTGTCATGTAAAATGTTATAAGTATAACCAAAACAAGATGACCTAACAGAGGTCGAAACGTTTGTGTTTAATTTTTGTTTTTAATTTTTAATTATTATTGAATTTATTTTATATTTGAATACAAATGACAGTCTTTATTTACCGTTAGTTTAATATTTTAACGAATTTATGGCCCGTTGCCCTGTTTCTTTATTGTGTTCAAAACAAGATTTTTTCTATACACTGAGAAAAAAATTTGTTAAATTTTAACAAATATTTCTTTGAATAGTTCTAGCGGAATATTTACTTACGATAAATAAATATTTAGATAAATAAATATAATAAAAAAAATGATACTTGAATCAATCTAATTGTTCTTGGATTTAATAAATATGCGTTTACGTTTAATATGAATATTCCACTGGGACTATTCGAAGAAATATTTATTAAAATTTATTAAATTTTTTCTATAGTATATAAGAAAATTAAATTGGAGAGACAAAGTAATATAATATTCTATTTCTTAAAAGAGAAAACAGTAATACTTTAATGTAATTTGTAAAAGAGTATTTATTTGTATATTAATAACTACTATCGTTGAAATATATTTTATGTTATAAAATAATTAAAAGTTTTCAATTTAAAAGTGATAAAAAATATAAGAATTGGTGATACTTTCGGTTTTCTTTTTAAAATTATTTGTCGCGATAACGAATAAGCAAGATTTCTATTTGATGTTATTTATTTTTCTGAATAAAGTATCATATGGAATGTAGATATGGAATGGCGGTTTATTTTATATACAGATATCATGTAGCGATATCGCAATAGAAACTTTATATTCAGAAAGTATTCTTTTTATTTTACCACAATCCCATTGTAGAGATGCAGCGGTCCGTCCATCTGTGTAGTCGTGACCATCATGATAACAGGATGCACGAGATAGGCACAATATGTGAGTCTCGAGAGAGGATACATTAGCCTAAGCGAAAGCAAACTGTCGATCATTCGTGCCGACCCTGTACAACATTGGATCACGATAAAAGCCACGGCCATCGCCCACGCGGTGTGTCCCAAGGCAGCATATACGGAGCTTACCATCACCGTCAAATTTCCGGGATACAATCCGTATACTACCGAGAACATGATGCCCACAGACAGTATCCAGCCAATTAGTTCTACTCCCTGTGGAATTGAGATTCAGTTAATAGAATAGAAAACATTTTACGCTAAAAAAAAGAAAATCTCGCCGTGTGGACAAATAATACGTTTAGCAATTCTCGTTGTATTTGTGGTACTTAAAAATAATTGCAATATAAATTACACGTATAAAGATAATTATCGTTTTGTGTTCTGGCCAATTATTTTTAATTACAATAATTACATTGTTCGTATCCTTCGTAATACGGATTTTGCAATTGTTCAATAAATCCGCATTATCGCATCATTATTGCGCAACGAGGCGTACGCGAATATCACTGACCGATTGACTGAATGATTAACCTGAGAATAGCTAAGAACAGTGTTTCGAAATGCTCACCATAGGTAGCTTTAGCTGGCACTTCGTTTTGAAGAGGATATAACCACTGATCGTGCCGATGAAATACGGACCCGCTCTCAGCCAGGGTTTATCGTAGAGTTCGTCAAATAGAGCAAACGGCTCTTGAATCCTGTGTGAAGAGTGTGATAAAAGAATTAAGCGTATATACGCAATATCGCGCGACGAAATTGCCGTGTCGAACGGGGGGGAGGAATAATGCAAAGTACAATGTCGATAGCGCGCTATAATAGGCACGTGCGCCATGAAGCTGTCTGAAATGAAAGCCTGCTTCCAATTACAAGCGATGCTTCGACAGATACCTGGCTTATTGCATTGTTCCTGCGTATTCACCCGTTCCGTATTCACCCAGTTCAGAATATAAAAAGATCGAGGTACTTTATTCGCGGATGGGAGAGCAAGTCATACGGACATTGTAAGAGACTGTATTCCAATTGTTGTGTTTCATTGAATGCTGTGAAAAGCCTTTGTTACTTTGAACATATTTCTCTCTCGTTGGTATAATTAAGATTTTCCACGAACGATGGTTATACCCTGACGATTTTTATAAATAATTTCAACGAATTTCATTTTAAATAATAAGCTCATTCCTATATCAATAATATTTTTTAGAGGAAAATTTCTTCAAAAAATTAATCATTAATATTAATGATTAGTGCATTAATATTAATGATATCTAAGTAAATTAATAATCATTATATATATTTTTTTATACGTAGTTAACTTAGTACAAGTTAATTGTGTCAGTAGTAGATCGAAAGAGAAAACGCGAAATGTGTGTAGAGAGACGAATGATACGTGTAATATTGATCGGGAGTTCAAGACATTACCTGGCTATGTAATCGTTGCTGTAGGCTATCGAGAACGTAGTGAACCACGAAGAGACGATCAACAGCGAAACGATAGTGACCGCGGTCTTGAAATATTTCACAGAGAGCAAAAGAAGAAGTATCCCAAGGACGTAGAACTGCGTGTCGTTTGCCATATACCAGCTCCACAGCATGCACTAGAAAGTTATTAATGTAATATGTGCGAATCAATTGCCAAGCAGATTGCATCGCGACGGGATTGCGAAAGTTAAGAGAACTAGGACACGGAGGAAAATTCACGCGCGGGAAAGGCGATGCATTAAGTATCGCTTTGACGCAAAAACCGATCTTTATGGCTTTTCTACCTATCATCGAAAGTAAGTTGTTAACTCGTTTTTTTTACATAATCGTGTATTATGCAATATTCTTCGTTACTCCATATTTATTGTATCATCAAGTACTTAAGATAAGTTTTGAAAGCAACGTTAAAATAACTGCTGAATCTTGTTTTTTAATACGTACGTTATGTACATTCCGTTAACGACGTCTAATGCTTTTTTTTACGAGAGGTTAGTGTTTTTTATTTTTTAAATATACTTACCTCTATATTATATATATGTATATGTATTTGGAGCGAACGTTATTATAAAATAAATGCATGTAAGAAGTTTCGTATTTCGTTAAAAGCTTTACTTCGCGCGAAGTACATAGTAACGAGAAAAAAGAAAGCGCATTAGGATAAGCAGAACATAAATCATCTTACCATTTCCGTACGCGGATATAGCGAGTTTAAATATAGCGCGTTTCGCCACCAATACTTTTCACAGGTCAGATGATCAATAACAATTGGCGAAAAGACTGTCCTCGCTTGAGCTTGTTTCATAGCAATCTCATTCATTCCCAATACAAAAAGATAAGCTGGCGTCAATCTATATGGAACATAAGATAGGTTAAAAATAAGAAACTGTATTATCGACAGTTTATTCGAGTAATTGAAAGAAAAATTTTCCAACGAGGAATTATACATATATATATATATATATATATATATATACCTGACGAATCGATACAAGATCATGATAATGAATTTGGTGAAGCTTGTCTTCAAAAAGTTGCCCTTTTCGATATTAAGATTGCCTAGGGATCGGTAGAAAAGTATAGTCACCAGCAAACCACTGTCGACAAAATCGTTACAAATTAATTTCTGCTCTATTGCGATAAACGTTTATTGTTCGTTACCTAATAAAGAAGAAAGTATCCACGGAAAATGTCGCGTTACTGACGGTCTGGAACATGAAATTCCTTTCTGTGACCGTCCGTAATGTCTTGTTCTCTGCAAAGCGTAATGAGGAAACACTTAATCGCGAAATTGTCGGTGAAAGTATACACGTATAAAGCGGGGAAGAGAGGTTCGATTATCATCGATCAGGAAACTCGATACATCCCATTACATCATAATGCCTATCAGTTGCATCAAGCGCTACTTTTATACATAGAAAGTAGAGCAATCAAATTAGTTTGAAACGTTGTTAATGAGACGACAATTTTCTACGTTATCTTCTCGTTTTATGCGTCTATAAACTTTCTTGCCATAGGTTTGTTCATTTCGGAAAGAGGTTTTGCAACTCTCACAGAATTACCAGCGATAGAGAAGACCTGAATGTATGTGTGCACCATGATGACCCATCCCAAGGAGAACACGCGAAGACCGTGGAGACAAGTGAGACTATCTTTGGCCGCAGGCTCGGTGCTAATGATCTTACTTCCATTGACGATAGGGCTGAACGCGAGTAAGAATTTCAGCCAGAATCCTGAAAAAGTGACGACAACACTGTGTTGAACAATTGTTTTTAAGTATATCTGAGGCAAGAGAATGTGCCGACAAAGATATAGATATACGTCATTAACCTTTGTTGCAATTCTTCCGTTGAATGGGATTCTCTTTTTGCGAATGTTTTGTTCCTTTTTCGATTAGTTCCTGATCGTTTTCCTGTCCTATCGAGATCCTGCGGTCTTGATTCAGATTCTTGTCTATAAAGTCGTTGGTTTTGTCATTGTTATTCGATACGCTCGAAAACTCGGTATCCCTCATAAGAGGAAGCGATCTGTATTCGTACACGATCGCGCAGATCATCAGGAACAATATCGTGCCGCCAATGGCTCTGAAATGATAGTATAATTTGTCGTGAGTAAATCTATAATAATAATAAGACATGTTATTTAGTATAATAATATGTTTTCATTTCCCTTATTTTTTACTACATCGCGTGAAAGGTAAATGCGAAACCGTAATAATAATAAGACATGTTATTTAGTATAATAATATGTTTTCATTTCCCTTATTTTTTACTACAATTGCGCGATTGTAGACACACAATAAAAAAAACATCTTAGTTTTTGTCTTTTTAAAAGTTTTGCTTAAAAACTCTCAATATAATTATCACAAAGTCAAACACGCGGACAAACTTAACACTATAACAAAATATTGTTGTGTATGTATCACGAGTGGACTAAAAGATTAAATGGACCGTCGACAATAGAAACTCACTGTCTTCAGAGGCGCGTCACGGTTTTACACCAGTCTCACAAAGTAAAGACGCAAGGTGTCGTATAGCTATGTATTGCTTTTGTTCGTCGCTAACAATACTATAACTTCAGCATTCAGCGTACATGCATTGTATCGTAGAGGGATGTGCTTATACGGTGTTAAGGCTTACATGTTACACGGTCAGAAATTTCGCAAATCAATTCGCATGTCGCTTAACTCGAGAGAACGAGAAGGCTAGTAGTACAAATCTGCGCAATTTAATAATCAAATATCACGAGAGTACGCTGTACATATATAACACGTTAACTTTTTCAATTTCCGGTTGGACAGGGTACCTACTGACTGTATAGTCGCAGGAGTCGAAGAGCTTAATGTTCTGGGAAATTAAATTCGGAAAATTACTCGGTGCCGATTTTCCACGGTCGTTTCCCAATTTAATCTCTCTTTTCTGGAATTAATAATCCTCTGTCTTAATTACGATGAGAGGCACATAGATATGTGTTTTTCACGTCTATTCATTATTGAATACGGTGAATTGAAACAAAAGAGAGAAAGAAAGAGAAGGGAGGACGAATTTACATTATATATAACACTTTGTAATATTCATACTTTCAGATGAATATGTATATTTTGGATTTATTCCGTGTAAAAGGAACGAATCAAATATGCGCATATTTAATTAATTGCCTTCTTGCAATAATATTATACAATACATATACATATTTTTTAATATAAAATTTATTTAATTCAATGTTTTTTTCAACTCAATGCAATTTCTAAATTACATCCGTGAGAAGTTTTTTCGTTGATTTGATTAATCACGATGAATCTAACAGTTTCGCTGATGAAAAATTGACACTCGTGCTTCATTATTGAACTATGTTGAACGTGATATCGAATTTTCGCATGGAAGATTAGCGCACAATTGGAATTTATAATTGATAGACATCCTGTGCAGACTAATTATACGAGAATTTAATAACGCGCTCATATTTTATAAATTTATAGACATTTATGAACCGATTTTCACTTAACTGATCGATATATATTTACGAAGAATTATTAATTTTTATACAAAATCTATTGGTTAATATTGTACATTAACGTTAAAATATCGAATGAATAAACATTCTTTGAAAGTATAAACAACATATAGTTCTTCTATATCATCTTCTTTGAATTTTTATGTATTCGAATTTCTATTATGAATTTATTTATATATATATATATAAAATTTCTAATCGTATTTATATTTAATACATATATATCTTATTATGTAAAATCAAAAAAGTTATTTTATAGGATATCTGATTTGTATATTTTTGAATCATCGACTATCGCGAAATCGCGGACGGGATTTGGTGGAATAAAGCCATTCGGACAATGAATTTCGCAGTTTCGGACCGCGCACTTATTTTCGGGGCTAACGGCCGAAGGAACTTCCGCTTTATATCTCCTTGTCGGCTTTAAATTATTATTCTTGTCGGAACATTCCGAGTACGGGAGGAGAGCTTTGTGGATTTCTTTCTCTTTCCCGTAGCACATTTGTGCACAGCTTAAATGTGGCTCTCCACGGGAAATAGAATGGCAACAGGCTTTTTTTTTTCTTTTTCCTCTCCTTTTTTTTTGTAGAACCGACCCATTTTAACACGCTACTATGCGCGAATTTCGACAAAGAAAAAGAATAAGTAGAGGCGATCTGAACGCGAAGAAATAAAAGTTTCACAAACGAAGTTTCGTTGCGATCTTTTTTACGTAGCACTTCTTCTCTTTTTCTTCCCCTTTTTCTTTCATCTTTCTTATATACTTAGCATTTTCGCTGCTCTGATTTAATCCTTTGCTTACCATCGCCGTTTATAACTTTTATCTACTAAAAGAATCTTTTCCTCCTTTTCTCGAGTAGAATGTTGAACGCACAATAGAATACATTGCAGATCTTCGATAGTCGTCTCGAAACTTTTGTCTGTATACAAAGTTGTTAAAAATAAATGAACAGGACGACTTTCTTTTACAACTAGTTAGTAATTATGTTTTATTTCAAATCTTGATGGTTGCTGTGCTGCATACATATACATATCGATTCTGCTGAGTCTGTAGTTCAGCATATTTAACTCGCTATTATACATCTGGTTTGGCGTTCACTATTAATTAAACTCTCATTTGATTTGCTCTCGTTTCCTCGCCCTCTTTCCGTTTCCTCGTTTGTCACTTCGCGGTGGCAACATTTACTGTCGCAATTGCATACACGATGACAATGTATGTCGAAAGTGTTACGCGCTTATCGCAAGGTTACAATATACTCGTGAAGCATACGTTCACGTGCATGAGGTCGTATGTATTTCAATAAATTAAGGACAGCGGAAGCTCGTGATAATATCTTTTAGTAATATACCGTCAATCGATGAACTACCTTGTCGATTAAAATTTGACGAGGGAGGATATTGTGAATCTGGAGACACGGTAGTGCAGTCTCGGCGCTAAGCCAAGCGCGCGACACTGCCGTGTCTCCTTTACGCGAAACTGAGAATTTTTCGGGGTCGAGATGATCAGATCTCAGTAACGGCTGAACCTACATATGCTCAATCGACAGGAAAAACTTAAATTGTATGATCATTAATAACGTTTTCGAATACTACGATTGATCCCGGATTCACTTCAGGACATGATTTGCATCTGCCGAGGCCCGCATTCTGCTGGAATGCAGACGATAGCGCGAACACTTTCACGTGTACCGGGGGCTTTCTATAATCTTACGTAATAGGTCCACACATGCGTGCAAGTGCGCACGATGCACGGTCGGGCGGTGCATAATTGCACGCTGCGCCGCCGCCGCGTCGTCGCCGGTACACCAAACAATACGTCGTTCTCCTGAGGGTCAGCTGTTTAACTGAGCGATTTCTTTCTAGTTCCGTCAGGGAATAATCTAGCGTTTTTATTTCCGTATTTCCAATCATTATTATAGAATTTAATTCGTTCGATTAATAATAGTCAAGAGGCGATAGAATAAAAGACTTGAAAACGATAAACTTTCTCGCGCCTACATGAAAAAAATATTTAAAACTTAATTAGTAGAGGTAAGTTTTTAGATCATGTTTAAATTTGTGTTCGAAATAAACTTTTTCATCGTCTTGTTTGCACTATGCAACAAACCGCTTTGTGTAAATATTATCTTCGACATGTGTAGGGTAGACCGGGGACAAAAGTAACATTTTGACTTTGAAGTGTTATAACAATTGAAATATGACATTTACATTAAAAACGAATATACCTTTAGATGTAGAATTTATTTAGCTACACATTTTTTTTTATTCAATTTTTCAATATAACTAGAAAAAAAGTTTGTTTGTTTAAAGACTATGAGGAATTTTGTTACAATCGTCCCAACCCCTGGGACGATTGTAACAGTAGAGAGGAACAATTGTACCACACTATTTATAAATAAAATAATGATTATTTTATTGGTTTTATTAATAAAAAACTCTTTGTATATATAATTATGAACATTTATTACATTATTATTACATAATATTAGAATCTTTTTAAGATCACAAATGATAAACATCAACAAGAAGAAGAAAGAAGCCAATGACGGTCATAGCTGGATCACAATGCTTATTATAATTATGTGTGAATTTTGTATACTGCGTACATAGTCCCCTATACTTAAATAATAAAATTTATACAAATAAATATATATTAATATATATATATTTATTTGCATTAAATTTTATTATTTAAGTATAATGCAATATCTGCAATAAGTACCTAAATACATGTAATAATAATGTAATAAATGTTCATACTTATATATACAAAGAGTTTATTATACATATATATTATATATATAATATATTATTACATATTATTATATTTTATTATACAATATATATTATTATATATATATATATAATATACATATATATACATATATATGTATATATTTTTTACACTACTAAAATTAAATCAGTAAGTTCGGGGACAATTGTAACGTTACAACTGATCCCAGGCATCGAAGTTACTATTGTCCCCTACTGATATTTTATGATTCATATTAAATTTTTTAAATAAAAACCTAGATAAAAATCAACTCAAATGTGAAAAACATCAACACAGATAATCATTAAAACATATTAAGATAATATATTATACTTTTGTTATAAAGAAAAAAAAATATTTTGAATTTTGTGCACGCAATAAAAGTTACTTGATGCATGAAAAAAGTAATTTCTGCTTCTGCACTCGTGCACGTTCCACGAAAATCAGCATGTAATGAATGATTCAATGCCTAACTGTTTATAGAATTTTATCACGCGGTCACATACATATATCTGTTATAGTTTGAGAAATATTGACGATGTTACTATTGTCCCGTGTTACTTTTGTCCCCGGTCTACCCTATGAACAACAAATATTGTATAAACGTTCGAAGCATTTATCGAATTGTTTATTAAAATTTAAGAGACTGCACATAACAGCACGTGTAGCTCGTATAGTTCGTGGATGCAATACGATATATAGTCGGTGTAATCTGGAGCGATTTTTGAAGAATTACATGCTGAGAGTTGTGACATACTGCTATCAAAAGAATTATTTACGACCCACCTTCCGTTTCCT